GTTTTTATAAAACATGCATATATTTGTGTCGGTATCATTGACAATTATCAAGTACTATAGGGGTCTATCTAAACTGTACCCAAGAGATTTTGATAAGACTTGACCTCTAGAAACGATGCCGTTTGCTTAAAATTAAGTTCTGCTGTCACTAAAACAATCAAAGACGCATTTCTCAGCTCTGCACAAGAAAAAAAGGAAAAGTCTGTACAATATAAAGTTGTAAAATGCAAGCTGTTTTAAAAGGGATTGTATTCATAGGCATTCTCAAAGCAGGTAGGAAAATATCTTGACTCTAACGGGTTCAGACATGAGGACTATACCTCCCTTCATGGTGTCCAAATTGAATTTTAAAATCTGATTGTCAAAACTCAAATYTATTCTATACTCATCCCTCCAAAAGATCTTGGATTCAAAGCTTAACCAAAGAAAAATGTTTCCATACATTTGTTTTCGCCTTCAAAAAGAGTTTTCAAAGACACATCAGAAACAGAAGTAATTGAGCTGTGACTAGGAATACTAAACAGATCATTGGAGCACAGAAATCAACAATATCATTCAAATATGTCTCTTTATCTCGACAGTCAATAATTTTAGAATCAATTTTGGTTGAGAATGGAAAATCTTAAAAGCTTTTTACCGGTAATGATAGCTGAACGARGGAGTCGACTTTGTGAATTGGTCCATTAGCTATGACGAAGTTTGATAGTAACTCGAATGGATTTACTCAGATCAGTGTACGATATCAGTACTTTAACTGCGAGGATCCAGTTTTTTGCGTGTAAAAATCAGCAGCTATATAGAGACTGATTGTATTCTAAAACTTAACCTTGCAAAAAACGTCATTGCTCAGTAATGTTCATCTCATAAATTCATATTTTTAGCGCATTTAGAACGTTTAGTTAACTGTCAAATTCTATAATGTATACGCCGGAACAGAGTCCAAAAAGAAATTATTCAGCTGATCAGTGCAGTCTCAATCGCTTTAGACRMMTAAAGTGTTAAGATATAGCATTTTCAGATTATGGTGTAAAATTTGTCTTTCTTACCAGTGGGTATAAAAAAACGAAAATCTAAGAAATACATAAAAGAGCAATAACTGTATTACGGTCAAATACAAACAAGGGGGCACAAGGGAATGTAGTGAAAAACAGGGTGGTTTAGGCTATATATATTTAACCGGGATTTTGAGACATTCAATACGTCAATATATAACATTTTTATTGATATAGTCATGGGTTTAAATGATCAAGTTGTCACTAGTTTTCTGAGAAACACAAAGGGACGAGCCTGATATAACGGCCATGTTGAATATGAAGAAAAGACTGAACTGTCTTCATTCAACATGGCGACTTTGACGAAGTGTAATCCGAGAATTTGCTACATTGAGACTCTTCTCTATAAATAGAGCAAATACACCACAGGTAGCCCAAGCACTATTATGTCATAATATATATAAGTAGGGGAAAGTTTATCATATTGAGCTGAAACTTCACATAATAAATATAAGTAGGGGAAAGTTTATCATATTGAGCTGAAACTTCACAGGGGTGTTGAGAAAAATAAGGAGAACACTATGTTGTAGTTTGAAATAATTTTATTCAGTTTTACCACTTTTATTGAACTTTTCGTTTTTCACTGTCATAGCCCAGTGCTTGGGCTACCTGTGAATACACACTTTCAAGAAGAAAATTTCCTAGTGCTTCTCGGGTCAAATTAAAAGAAAGGCTTCATCTAAGGCTTTCAGTCAGTGTTCAAAATTGGTCGTTCCTATCTGTAATATGCATGTAGCAATTTTTACACGCATTGAAAGATGTATCTTTTTAAAATCAAAGCCAATATTGACGGAAAAAACTTAGTTAATATCAATCACTTTTGACATCTGGATGACTGCCTGCAAATATTTGTAACAAACCCTTTGACAAAATGGCCGCAACTCATTAATAAAAACTCGGATCCTGAATATGCTTCACTCCGAACCTGTGCAAAAATCTAGAGTATGCATCCTTTTTTTCAAGATTTGGGGTCGAAGGCTCGAATTCAGGTCGTAAACTAATTTTTTTATTATTATAATTTTTTTTTTTTTCAATTTTATATTTTTATGACAATTATTTCCTCTATTCTCATGACAAGAACATGAAGATGATCGACCGTAACATAATGCTACATATGTAATATTCTTTTTCTGTTATTTTCAGCATCTTCTCTGCAGTGTTATCATTGCTACAGCTATGAATCCTTCCATGAATGCGACAACAACAAAGAGCTCAAGAGCTGCGAGATTGGAGCGATGCAACGATGCAGCAAAGTCACTTATGACCTACCAATAGGCAAAGTGTATCGCAAGGAATGTATTGACTTAGCTTACTGCAAAGACAACGATAGATATTGCCGACAAGTCACCAACGGTTCAGATGATTGCGAAGTTCACTGTTGCAAGGACGACAAATGCAACGCGGGCTCGAAAGTGTCCAGTGGYGTWTTGTGCGCATGCGCGTTGTTAATGGGGTTTCTGATCCGAATGATATTATGAGTTTTTGAGCCAAAAAAGTTTTATAATTTTCGTAGGATTTTGTGAATATCGCTTTGTATTGATTTGAAGTACGTAGTAGGCTCACCTGCTTTGTAGAGTGAGAGTTAATTAAGCAATTGGGCTTGTTGTTCATATGAGTAATTTTCCGTCYACCGAGAAAAGAAAACGACTACCTTGTTTGTCTAGTTGACAAAGAAAAKCTGAGSAAAACAACGAGAAATCAGCTTTACAATCTTTGGAGATCGAAGGCAAAACAATCTASTTATAGCTACTCCTAATTGATTGAAGCCAYGWACCCCAGAGTCCTGGAGGAAGGTCGGGGAGGGGAGGGGAAGGGCCGGGTTTAACACATTATACCCGGGAATTTATCAAAGCATCAACGGGTAGGCGGGAGAATTAACGTCTATATCAAAGAATATTACCTTTCTAACAGCTGGCTAAATGCCCTGTGACTTAACCTTGATGATATGTTAATTCCTCCGGTATTGCCAGTGGGGGCTGGGAGCCGTCGTCTGTGGTTTCACTCACAAATCACGGCGAAAGATTTTTGTCAGCTAACTAATTAAAATTATAACAGCTTGGAGAAACCAATTCTTTTATTCTGCTTAAGGTCATGAAATGGCCGAGTCGAAGTAAACATAAGCTAACATATCCTGCAAAAAATTCGGCATACCTGACTTGATGAAGTATTGCACATGCTATAAAAACTGACCCGGAAGAAGAACTTTAGAAAGATAAAGAATAGAAATAGTGCTTTATGTACTGATCATTAAGTGTAAAAAAGAAGATGTATATTTTCACAAAATCATTTGACTTATTAAACAATAACGAAAATAGCGTTTAGTAAAAATGAAAGAAAGATTTAAGGTGCAGTGACTGGGATTGGAACCCTTGACTATGATATGACTGAGAAACGCACCTTGTCATCTGAGTATCTCTCGTGACAAAATATACTGTGCTAGTGCGCGCATACTCTGTAATTCCGGTGGCTAGTGAAAACACTACTGCCTTTCCCCTCCCCCCACAAAAATAACTTGTCTTGTCATGACCCCAGCTGAGCAGTTTGTTATATTGAATCAACGACACGTGTTCTTCTCGCCTCAATTGATATCGGATCACAACCATGGCACAAATGCTGGTCTGTTTGCTTATACTGCTTGGGGCTGCATATATATCAGGTCAGTATCTGATACACACGGTAAATACACTTGAATTTAGGTATTTTCTAATGTAAAATATGTCTCAGCGAATGATAAACAGTATGTGGAGTTGACAGGGCTTGACTAGGAATGCACGCGCGCGCTGGATATAACACCCTGCAATTGTGTAAACGTTTTAAGTGCGTATACATACTGAATAATATCTGATTTTAGATATCCAGATTTGATGTTTTACAACAAGGAATGCTTTGAATTAAGCAGAATTGTAAACACTGTTTTATAACGTCTTTTGAATGCTTAAACCATGCTTTTGTTAAAGACATCTCTTATTGTACTTAAGGCTTAGGGTTTGTGATTATTTTTCTCTGGTTCCTTCCCTAAGTTCATTGTACTTGAGGCTTAACAACAAGACGCGTAGTTTTTTGTTTGTTTATTTTTAACAGCGAATGTAATTCTTTTTGCAAAATGATCTTAAGTCACCTCGGAAAGTTATTGGGAAAGTGTCATAAAATATTGTCCCTACTTTCACGATTCGGCAGGTACATTATACTGTGCCGAGTTAGATTGCAATCTTGTGATATTTCATCAAGGGCCTGTGATATTGAATACATTCTTGCTATTGAAAATTAGCATGAAAGGTCTTGCGTTAATGACATGATCCAATCCGAGCAATTATAAATCGTTCAACATTCAATGATGCGACTTGGAAGGAATGTTATGGACTTATGAGCTTGTATGTCTTCTTGTACAACACAAAATAGCTTGTGAACCATGCRTGTAGCAGTTTTACTGCTRAAGAAAGCCAGATGCGAGCTAGAATATCATAGTTTCAGTGAAGAAAAAAAACAATTGCTGCATTTTGCATGATCGACACATCTTTAATTGTTACCAGAAGGAATTCAAAGCTGAAAATGTTTTCATAAACCACTTCATTCATTATGTATTAATTTAGTTTTTGGCAACTCGCGACCCTCAAAATCTTGGATAATGGCCACCAATTCAGTTCAACTTTTGTAACGAAACTGTTGTTTTTTTTGATAGTTCATCCTTAAAAATATGATCTCACTCGTTTTAAGACTAAGAAATGAATATCAAAACCAAATCAGGCAAATTGAAATCATCACAGAAAAATAACAACCGCAAATTGTTTAATTTTTTAAATATTTTTACTCAGCCTACCTCTAAACCTCACGAAACTGAATTTTATTTTCCGCCATCTTTGCTCAGGGTCCGCGGACAAAATAGAGAGAATACTTTTATGATACAAGATTGCAAATAAAACTTAGCATATTTTAAGTTTTCAAATTGTGTTTTGTTTTTTAAGTGTAGTGTTTATAATTTTCTTTGAAAGTAATACCATGCCTCTACATGGTCTCGTCGTTATCTCGCGATTATTATCAGGGGGTTAAGATGGTCAATATATATGCTGTGATCTCTCGTGATACATTGCCGCTTCCATTGACCTAATTGAATTCTAACTATGCCTAGAAATTGAGTTAAATTCGCGGTAAAAAGTTCCTAATAGCTTTTGAAATGCGGGTTGATTATAAGCAATGTAATTCAATTTGTACGTGTTAGATTCGAATGATTAATTTTAAATGGCGCCACCTAATTTCAGTAAACCGTTTACGTCGGTGCTGTTATTAAAAATTCCAAGACCGTAGAACYATTTGAAAGGACGCTTGTTCATCGATATACAATAAGCTAAATACGTTTAATAGCTAGCGTGCCACTAACTATACACAATAGAAACCAAATTAAACGAGCGTCGACACAACATTTAGAGGAGAATGTAAAACGGCAGGGGTTCGAATGGACCACCCATTWTTTTCATTGTTTTTGCTTCAGGCCTGAGGGGCTCTATAAACCAGTCCATTTATTATCATTATTTTTAGACATTCGACATGTAAAATGGGGCACGTTTTGACTGCTTTTTGCATGGATAGATATTTTTTTACCAAGTTTGGAATGACAACGTTTCGCCTATATAGGGTGGGATGGTGGCTAAGAACATGCGTACGGTTTTTCAATCGGTTTTTTGATGGAAAAACTAATATACTATCGTCCTCTTTTCTTAGTTGGGCTTACTAGTACTCTGGCGCTTTTTGCAGTATAGTGAGCGCTTGTTTTCGGCGAAAATTATACGGCGCAATACTAATTGCATGCTATAAAAAAGCCGATGAAAATCATGAACAGTTCACGGAAACATTTTAGCTGTCAGTAGCTTATTTCTTTGCATGGTTGACTGGTTTATTCAAAAGTCATCCAGGATGTAAACATATTTGCACAAGCCTTAGAATATATATGAGCTAGAATTCATATTTCTCGGAATACTCCTTAAATTACCCAAGCACCTTACGATGAACTATCGAAGAAGACTATCTAGGCTAGCCATTAACAATATTCGATTTCTATCTTCTTTCGTCACTGCTGTGGAAATTGAGTACCTATCAGTGACATAAACTCGTTATATTTCTTATCTCTGTCTACAATACACTGTTCCGTGAGCTTGAGTCCTGCAATTACATCTGCGGTATCTTATGTACTGAAATATGTCTTCCATCAGACAATGATAATTGCAATCACGACCAGACTGAATAGCGATACCATGCAGAGTGAGGCGTGCTCTCAAATTCCTCGTTTTATTTATTTTTATACCATTGAAAATCAGTCAATGAAACCTCTTTTCAGCGAGTATTACTTCTCCGAAAACCTTGAAAGGCGATTTCAGAGATGTTCAACCAAAGTCATCCCTAACTATGACAAAATGCGCTCAAATCGATGGAAGCTTAAAAATTGAGAAAATTTCAGTGCATTGCTTGTGTTATTGTTTTTATGACTTTATGTATAAGGTGTTCCATGGTAAACTTGATTTTCACTCAAGACTCCACCTTCATTTTCGCGTACAGCTGTTGCTAAGAAAGCGCGCGTTAGCATTAATTTGCTTGTTGTAGTATTTGGCGTGGTTTTATGTTCAGTTTCTCGGCCCTAGAGCTGTTGATTCAATCACAAATGAAATTATTTTTGAGTTTATATAATTTCAATTGATTTGTTATTTGTTTATGTTTCAGAAAGCTTAAAATGCCATTCATGCACGAATACTGAATCACACGAACGATGTTTGGAAGAAAAAGGTGTTGAAAATTGCCCAGAGGGATTATTATGCTCCAAATACTCGTACAAACTACGAAACGGTGATGGAAGTTTGCTAAAAGTCTACGCGCGMGCATGCCACACTAAAACAAAATGCAAAAGCGGAAAATCACTTTGCAGTTCGTCTCATTTGATCAGCGACTGCGCAATTACTTGCTGTGGGGACAGAGACATGTGTAATACCAGTTCGTTGACGATTATCAGCGGCTTGCTGGTGTTGGCATGCGTGTTGATTGATGCGTATATGTTAGTGTGATCAGCGGGTATTTTCCACAAATTTATGCGTACGGATATCAGCACCTATCAATCCCACATGGTTGAATCACACGATACCGGGACCACGCGACCAAACCCATAAACATACAGTGGAGGAATTGAGTGCTTCAGTAGAAAATATATGACCTCAAAATAAATGACGGACAACCTCACAAACGGACGAAGATACTTACAGATATTTGATGAAAAGSTGTTTCCAGCAAAATAATTTAAAAGAAGTAGTTAACATAATTTGAACTGGGTAGGAAGTTGAGGAAGAGCTTTGCTGATTTTTGCAACGTCAACTTGTCTTTATAAGCCCAATATGACACTTTAATGTAACCGCGGATTTTCAGTGGAATGTTATTAAGGGAAAGAAGAAAAATGAGCCAGTATGATACAGGCTTACAGCCTATATATCTGTCTCACTGAGCACTTCAAAAACTGGGTGACAGATAAGATAAAATATATCATTGTAAATATAATATGTAGATATCTCAATACTGTTAATTAAGTAGTGATGTGGTATGAGTACAAATACACTAAATAGCCAGTGACGCCATATTGTTTAGCAAAGCATGATGGTAGTTGTAGTCCTTTTAAGGAGATATTTTAGGTGCTATGAAAAGTGCGAAGACTACAACTACCATCATGCTTTGCTGCACAAATCATATAGAATCCGGGAATCCAGTAATAAATGATATTTTCAATAACTTGTCTTGTCTTTTCTTTTGTTTGGTATGGTGATGAACTAAACAATGGGATTGCTGTGTAGCAAAATTGCGTGAGACTGGGTCTGTTTTGATTGCAATGCATACTGGGATAGCATATTGGTCGCCATCTTGCATTTCCTGTACAACTTGCCGCATTTCGAAGGTTTTCGAAAGATATTCATCGCCATGATCAAGGCGATTTTGATCTTTAACAACCATGGGAAACCTCGACTGTCAAAGTTTTATCAGCACTATGTAAGTACACGAAATAGCAGGGGTTTTTGTTGATGCAATAAAACTCGTAAAATCATGTGACATCATCTGTGTTGATTCAGACAAGGGAACTGAAAGTCCACTGTTTAAATCTTTCAGCACTGTTAAGCACTGATGGAATTTCTATTTCAGTAATATACTGTGCGTATTGAGCGGAAATATACTGAAGTATTCTTTATTGTTCCATGTCGATCTCCGCTGAGATATAAACTTTAGAAAAAGTTATGATCTACAAAAGGCATGGATAAGAGAATTCTCTCAATTTGAAAGAGTCTTTCTTACTGTAATATATTCTATTATCATTCCGTGCTT